GATGGTAGTACCAAGATTACAGGTAATATACCCAACCGATCATCGAATAATTGTTACCGGAACACAGGCCTATTTTTTTAAAAACGTCTCCGGTGGGATTCGAATTCTAGATCTGCCGCTTGGGGGGTGACAACTTAACCACTACTCTAAGTCGCCACACCCTTATAATATCTTTTTTCTTTTCTAATTCTTAACTTCTACTATTATATTTTATATAAGATTTCTTTTGTTTGTATCAATATCTGTTTAGGATTTAGTTTATTTAATCTATTTTGCTAATAATCTCTTTTTTTCTTTTCTAGTTTTTAATATTGTTTTGTATATCTTCTATGCTTGTTTGATATATAATTTCTATTATCTACTCAAATATATTTTTTTGTAGGTTTCTAATTTGTATATTATTGAAGCTTCTATATATTTTCTACAAAAGCTATTGCTAAAATTCTTAATCTTGATTCTTTTACTATTTTGTTTAAAATTTTTTTTCTACAAGACCTTTAATATCTCTTTCTGTAGTCTTTTATTTAAATATTTTTTTTCTTTATCTTTTGTTGTTTTTGTTTTAAGATTTTTGTTTTTTGTTAAACTTTCATCTTCTACTTTTCTTTTTTGATTTTTTCCTTTTCTATATATTATTTTATTATAAATACTTTGATAGATATTTTAAAGCACTGTATTAGTAATTGTAATACTATTCTATTATATTAATATTGCTAAAAATTTTTTTGCTTAACTAGTTTATTCTACTATTCTATTTCTAATTAGGCTTAATATATTTAGCAATTTATTTTTCTTGTTATGTGTTATTCATCTTACTTTTTTTACTATATATAGATTTCTTAAAATTTTACTTAATATATTCAACTAGATTAATTTTTTGCTATATTGCTTCTTGACATTCTTTATTATTTTTTTTCTAAGTACAAGTTCTGTATATTTAATTTTTTTTACTCTATATTGTCTTAATTTTTTATAAAGCACCTCTATTTATACCTTTACTTGTTTTTTTGTAATTGACTTTTTTTTAGAATTTTCTATTGTTTTTTATTACATATAACTATTTTGTTATTATATTTGTATATTATCTTTGTTTTTATTTGTTATGTAGTTCTTAATATATTTTTATTTACTCTTTATTCTGTATTGTGTATTTTATATAACAAACACTGATCTGCATTATAGAGTTAAGACCAATTTTCTAAATAATTCACAAAAGACAAAAATTATCAACAATTCTTGATATTTTCTTCTATATCTCTGCTACTTCTATTCTTCTTACTCTAGTTTTTTAAGAGACTGGGTATTATTTTTGGTTCTTTTTCTTTTTTTTTAGAACTGCAAATCTTGTTTTCTATTAACATTTATATGTTTTTGTTTGTGTTTTGTTTTTGTTATTTTTACAAAGAATTAGCAAAAAAAGTTTAGTAATAAGTAAAAACTTTATTTTAATTTTATAAATTAATAAAATTAAAATAAAAAATTTTATAAAATGTAATATTTAATAAGATAGTTAGGTTGTTATATTTCCAAATAATATATTAGTAGGTTGGAGTTCAAAATCTACTAGTGATAATATTTTGAATATTTAGTTGTATAATATAGTTATACTTAAATTAGAAATATAATCTAATTACTAGACTTGTATTAAATTATCTTATATAATCAATTTCAAAGTATTAGTTATCTTATTAATTAATTAAATTTATACATATAAGCAAAATTATATAATTAAATATGAAATATATATAATCTATAAGAGATTCTTTAAGTAGTAATGAGATAACTTGAATAGAGATAAACAATTTGTAGATTTTTATATAAGATGTTGAATATAAAATTAGAATCATTTGATCTGTGGGTCGATAGCGTAGTGGTTAACACTTCTGGGTCACAATTACAAGGTCATGAGTTCGAGTTCTACTGGGTGACGAATGCTCTGCCAGGACCACAACTGGATATGATCTTCAGAGGATTTCTATTAAAAGAGAAAGAACAAGATTCAAACAAGATTCGTATAAGTTGCAGTCTGCCGGTATAGCCACAGGACCGGGGACGACTAGATAAGGCGCAATCTGTCAACAAATAATGCTAACATTGAGAAAACCCAGCATTAGAACCAAGATATTAAGATATAAAAAAGGACAATCCAGCTTGTGGATCATGTAAAGTTAGAGAACTGCAGATCTAAATGTAGATCCTACACCACAGTACCAGGAACCCAGGACGTCATATAACATACTTAACGAAGCATGAGTTATCTCACCAGTACGGTGACTAAAAAGAGCACCACACGCGCCTGATGATCTCTGCAGAAACGAAAACTTTGACCTTTGAGAGATGTAAGAGATCTGAAGGTGTCTAAGAACCTTTGAAATGCAAAGGGAGGTAAAAAAAAAAAAAAATTAGAATTATTTGCAATATAGAATGACTTCTTTAATAAAATATTAATTAATTATAAAGTTGAATCATTTATGTCTAGAAATAGATTACAACCTATATATTAAAATAGATTATAACATACCATTTAGATCATTCTGTTTGAAGCACTAAATGCAATAGTAGATAATGAATCTTGGAATAAGTATAATTATATTTGAAACTAGTAAGTTTACAAATTGCACTTGAAAGTTTACAATATTCTTACAATCAAAAAAAATAGCCTAAAAATTATTGAATCAAATTTTATACTAGGTTGAAAATTGAATACTGTTATGCAAAAATGTCATGAGGTAGCCTTTAGACAAGTTTGAACATAGCCATTTTTAAATATTAAATTTTATTAAGGTAATCTACTAAATAAAAATGGTTAGAATTAAATAAATATATAATCATGATTTTTTAACATAGATTTTTTTAATTATCAAAGCTCAAATAAGCTTTGGACACTTGGACAATTGGGCATTAGACATGCTAAAAAAGGTTTTGTAACTTCTTTTTTATATACTTACTTCTACTAGACATATGTATACCTATTTAATTTGGGTAATTGAGTATTATCTTAAATATCAAAAACAATGCGTAAAATAAAGGTCTTGCTCTAAAATAAGTATATGAAGTTATGTTACATAGATGACAGAGGATAAATCAGTTATATCCTGTGTGTTTGGATATAACTATTATATGTACAGGAAATGGGGCAACTCACCAGAGGCATGATTATAGGTTTTATAATAAATTTATTATGGCAATTCTTGCTCACACATAAGTCGTAACGACGGCATGCCCTTGAAATAGCTTCTTGAAAGTATGATTAGAAGAGGCTTTGACCATCCCTTCTTAATGCTTTCGCTTAGAATTCAAATACACTACCACGCATATCTTTCATTGAGAATGTTTTAGCTTGTGTCTGTTTACTCGGCCGACAAGCTTTATGTGTTATAACCGAAGATTCAAAACCTCGACATTTGTGACGTCTTAATTATTTACTCACAGAATTTATGCTGCAATTTTATCTTTATTTTCGGAAATGTCACTTTTCACCCGTAACAGTACAATGTAAAAACTTAAAAAAAATGAATCATACAAGATCATGGATGAGTGAAATAAACCCGTTTTTTACTAACGATAAATTAAAAATAGCTTTGATTAGTAAAGACTATTTACAGTTTATTCAATTTATATATTCAATTGGGTATTACCAAAACTGGCTAAATTTATTAGTCGCACCTTCCGAAGACAAATCAGTTTAAAAACTTTTATAATAAAATTTCATTAATTTGCAATAGAAAGGAATCAAACTGCTCCTGAAAATCAATAATAAAGATTTTGTAAGATTCGGGTAAATTTTGCATCACCTGAAATTATTAACCAATAAACTTTGATTATCTCAAAATAATATTTTTTGGACTCTTTCTACTACAAAAGCCCTAACTTTATGCTGTTTTTTTTTTAATTTTATCTTTATTTAGCTAATAATTATAACGAACTGATTTTAATCAGTGTTTCATTAATGATTTTGGCGGTTATGCTACGTAGGAGGATTAAGTGTAACGATTATATATAAATGGGGTTCTTTTTTTTTTGAAATAAAATCAAGTATAGTCTAGTTTATGTTGCATGTGAGTAATGATAAAATAAATTACATTATCATTTATTAGGGTCGAGTATATATGCTTTCGATTACGCATTATACAATATCTTGATGATTAGCATTTAGGCGATACTCATATAACGATAGGTCAATACAGAAAAAGGATTAGAAACAGAAATGTTACTATTTCGCAAGAACTCAACGATTCAGCGTTTTTATCACATGATACGCGTGGAGGATTTCTATTGGTTGAAATATTTAAAAAAATAAAAATTTTGGATTCCCACTCTGCTGACCCGTCCGGGATATGAAAACCGATTATATAAGCTTATATGGCCTAATCTCCATTTAATTTTTTATAAACAGCAATTATTATTATTAAATTTTTTTTTTTTTTGAAGTTTGGGATTTGTTCAGATTTTTCCGGCAAGTATAGATATTATCTTTGTGATTTATTCATCACGTAGTGATTTTTGATTTAACGGAAATGATGCTATTATAACCTTAATTATTACTCCCTCAATATAGTAGAGAAATTTTTTATTATTATACCATATAATGTTATAGCGGATATTTCATTATAACGGATTTATAATAGACAACCCAATCACTACGCTATAAGGAGGATAGACTGCACTGTATTTGTTACTAAAACAAAAAAAAGTTGCCAATACATATATTTTATTATATCATTGAGACGTGTCCATTGTGAATTTATATCGAATGATTGTAAGATAAGAAAAATTTTACTTAAATGCACACTTAAAAAATCAACCTGCAAGTTTAATACATTCAATTAACATTAAAATTAAAATTAATGAGTTGACCATTCATTAAGACAAAAAAATAACCGATTACATGCGTATATTTCCAAATCATAAGAATTGAAAAATTAATTAAGCGTAGATTGTTGATGCTGCGGCTCTACCGCGATAGTAAGAGATTTCACCATATAATTTTCATAGTCATTTTTTACAAAATTTCTAGTACCATTTTCCAATGCGGCATCCGTACCATTATTTCCCCACCACTTTGTTTCAATACTTCTTGTTTCTTCCTGGCGCATTTTTTCAACAACTGGTTCAACCTCAATTTCACCAATCACATGAATTTGTCCACCCTCAGTCCCATTTGAATCATCATCACTATTGACATCATCTTGTACCTTCTTGACAACATTGGCATTACATCCACCATCAAACCTTTCGCTATTAGCCCAATAGATCATTTCAATCCCTTCTTTTGAAAAAAAAGTACTAAATATTAATGCAGTAACAGAATCCACCCACCAACCTTTCTTCCATAATATATAAATTAAACTACTACCAAAAAGCACTAAAGTAATTTTTATACAAGCGAGTGAACATTGTGCTTCAGATGCCATTGTAGAAGAATCCAAACTCACAGCCAAATATCTTTTACAAAAATAAACAGTCAACATAATTACGATTGATATACTAGAAATAATAATACCTGACATAGTATTATCAGGGTGACTTTTTTGAGTTAAAGAGATTATTGAATGTAAAAATGTTCCTAATGCCAAAACAATAAAAAGACATCCAATTCCTAAAGTAGCTTTACGTTCTTTATCAATATATTTATCCTTGGGAGTTATAGAAATCATGGAGGTTTCCTGACATGATTCGGAGGCAAATCGCCATAAGACCAAAACAGATGATGTCATTTCAACAAAAGAACCAATTCCAAAGATGACCAAGCTAACGGAATTAGATTGTTTTCCGAAAAACATAGAAAGTATTCCTTCAGCAATATTTAATACTATAGTCATAATGCTCACGAAAATTGCAAGATTAACAAGTTGCGGACGCGTGAAAGGCGTAGACAAGATAGCCATTATGACGTATGGCTTTCAAAATATTCAAATAATAATAGGTCGTAGATGGTTGAATCGTGAAGTTCTTATTTTCTTATTTAGAAAAAATGGATCAAATTCCAATATTGATGCTTTACAATATGATCGAAAGAAAATCAGCATCTTCTACTTTCTTTGATATCATCAATAGAAAAAAAAATATTTGAAATAAATGATTACATATAATCTGTTTAAATAATTTTTATTAAATATATAACGTGGTGCGCTCGAGTTCTTCTGACATGGATAATTTTAATAATGACACGTGCAAAATTTTGGCGAAGAAATGTTGATGTGTCACGTGCTGCAAGACAATTGGAAGTTTTTCACGTACGTACGTACCGTATCATCTCGAGACACATAACATAAAGAGAACTAAAAATTAAGATTTTTAAAAAATGAAATTATTGTTCGCATTCGGTTAGATTAACATTCAATCTCTTTAAATTGTCTCAAAATAACACCCGGGCATTATTTCGCGCAAATATGGTAATGCTGAAGATAGGATCCGTTGAATATTTATACAGTATTTTTTTATTGTAAAATTAAATGCGGATATCCGGATCCTATCGTTATCTCTATTGTCAAGGATCATTTCATTATTCTAAAAATGATAATATTTGTTCGTTGCGACAGCATATACGTAATTGAAATTTAATTTTCCAGGTTCAAAAAATTTATTACTGTATTTTTATTATTTCAGATTTTAAATACCAATATATCCTGATAGAAAATATAATAAACCTTTTTTAAACTTAATTGATAATTATTACAATAAAATTTTTATTATGTCTATATATTGAACTTACAGTATAATAGATTTTTAAGCATGCTTGACAGAAATTGAAAAAAGCGTTTCTAATGTTTTTATCACAACAACTCACTCAAAGCGTAAAATAAAAAATCTAGCCAAACGTCTGCAGGTCCAGGGATACACCATCTTAAACAATCTCGACCACCAAAATGTCCATCCACTCTTGTAATCATGACTGATTCTACATCTAAAAATACCCCACCAAGACCTTCAATAATTTCTTTAGCGATCAAATTTTGTCTATGAATATCACCCCAATGATAAGGAAGATTTTCCAACTCTGTAGCATTCGGAGGAGCGGGCAAAGGTCTATCAGCATTTTTGCAATTTAAATGTCCCAGAGTAGTAGCACGGTAAATTATAAGATTCTTTTCTGATTTTTTTCTTATATTTATAATGGTGTCTATTAAACTATTTCGAAAAGTCTCATCGTTCTGCCAATGATGTCCTTTATTTAAAATAAAAACATTGTAGTGAGTGCTGAATTGTATCCAAGGAAGTTGGAAATCCTTAACGTCTATTGGTGGTTCTTTCATGTGAGAAAGTATATCGTTTCTTACAAACTTCATTACTGATATTTTTCTATTGTAATCGGGATCATCTGTGATAATGTTACAAAGTAGGTGATCTTTACATGCGTTTTCTCCATAACATTCAACAGGTCCGTCAAGAAAAAAATCCAATAAAAGTTCATGTAATTGAAATTGTAATTTATCTCCAATTATCAAAATTTTATTTCCCGAAAGTAGATTACAAGCTTGCTCGACGGTTATTTTTGGTATAGGGCATTTCTTTGGTGTTTTCCAAACATATTTTGCCGAATCTGGAATCAATTTCCATTCTTCTTCCACCGAAATATCATGGTTTTTAACAATATTTCGATGTAACTTATTACATTTCCCGTATCTTGGATCTTGTTTGTGTCGAATTAAAGATCTTGGTGTAAGATCTAACTCCCAATTACCTTTTGTAATGCATTCTAATTGGTTTCGAAATTCGATTAAGCTATCAATGTCCTTAACGCGACTAGATCCAGGAATATATGTACTAAATTTTTTATATTCCTTAAGTTTTTTGATTTTTTTACGAGTTATTTCAACGGCTTTGCGTTCTAATATTCGATGTTTTGTGGCAAATTCTTGATTTAACTTTATTTTTTCCAAGTTTTCGTTATTAATTTCTTCAAATTCTCTTCTTTGGCCGAATAAATAGAATGCTAAGAAGACCAGAAACAAAAGAAAAAGTAACCGAGATATGTTATTATTATATAATAATTTCATGTTCAATTAAAAAGATTACGTTTGGTAGTAGTTTCAGGAAAGTAAAATAGAGATAAAAAAACAAAAAGCACTATATATAATCGTATCAGTATAAGGTAAACCACAATTAATTTGTTTCATTTCTTTACAGTTAGCGTTAGCATTTTAAGCGCTAGGGTATTAATTTATCCAATTATAAGCAAAATTTAGGGTTGTGTTACTCGGATTTACTTATTTCTGCAATGATACAAATCACGTGCTAATACTGCACTCTCATTATCGTTATAGTGAACTCTCGATATAGTTAAGGTTCGATGTACTGTACGTAGTGAATAATTTTGAATTACGGAATTATTAAATTTCAACTCGACATAGTGAAGTACATATAGTATTCTCTCGATACAGGCCATGTATTTTGTCAGCCGATGACTTCACTATAACGAGAGTGAGTTGTATTTGTTATTTTCGGAACGTCATCTAGTAAAAGGTGATTTCCTTGGCAAAATTTTGATCTAAATATTTCTGCAAGTGATACAAGAAATGTTTCTAAGTGTGTAATTTTGAAATTCTTAAACAGCGATAATGAAATCGGATTAAAATGAAATTCGAGGTTTCTATTTGACCTCCTAAAACCTACTTATACTGTTATAAATTCTGTTCTAACGCAAAAGCTGACCTCTAATCCTCTAAAAAAAAAAAATGCACTCCAAACATTTGTATTTTTTTGTGTATTGTCTATTTTAAACTACAAAATTTCATTTTCATTTTAATCTGCCATATCAAATGAATGTTGCTATAATCTGCCATATCAAATGAATGTTGCTATAATCTGCCATATCAAATGAATGTTGCTAAATTAAAACTTGGAACTGAAACTTAACGTTAAAGAGATTTACTATGATCAGTTACCAGTTTTAAAATAATTTTTATTTTTATATCGATATACTGCATATCGATATATTAAATCATAAATTTAATGTTTTTTGTTTTCATAAAGAGTCGACTACGTAAGTCTATTTTCAAAAATCAACCGATTTAGCCAGATAAGTCGACTAAGCCGACTAACCACTAATCTGCTTATGATACAAATAACGTTGTGCAAACATCCTATGAGAATATTCATTTTAATTATGAATGTAGGCAGCAAATTTGATCCATGTCGTCGTTAACTCTACATGGTTATTTGTTGACTTAATTCTCATTGTGGTGTCTTGTGCTGAGATTCGGGGTCCTTATTTAAATATATAATACATATGTCTACTAAAATTCACATATACTCTTTAATTAATAATACTAACCCTAAACTCTAACCTAGCTGTGAAAAAAAAGGCTACAAAAAAAGTCACCAAAAATTTTATAGATCAAATTCTCAGCATAAGCTGCTAAACTCATTATTTGTGAATTTGGTAAATTCTAATCCTTTAATTGAGAATCGCAAACATTCATGGATTCATAAGGCTAAAATAACTAATTTGTGTCGGCTTACTTTCACTCTCAACGACAGATTTTTGCATTTGTTGATATTACAGTTTTTTTTTACATTTATATAGTACATTGTTTCTGTAAGTATACTAGCATTCTACTTTAACATTGCTTCTTTGAACAGATATGTGTTAATTAAAATGTGATCCAATTCTGAATATTTAGTTGATGACAAGTATTTAACGTAGTATTCGTAGTCTTTGATCAATCACTGATTTTTTTGTCTGACGCCAGATTTCAGAAATCTTGGCACAAAAAGGCTTTGTAAAATAGATGAATACTTAATGATGGTTTGATTAAGTACAAAATACGCAATGAATCATTAGTGTGAATCGTTAGTGTGAAATAGCATATTAGCACAAACATAGTACGTACGGATCTATAGTAAATTTTACTAATTAAGATTTTTTTTTTCAATCGTTTCAAATCTATTTGTTGTCAATATGTTATTAATAATAAATACAGTATGTAGTGAATTTTAAACTTTAATAACTCATGAACTAATAAAAATATACATATAAAATTATACTTATTAGAATCGTTTTAATGTGCCATAAAGCAATTTTCATTACTATATAAATTAAAGTATAATTTAACAATAAAAATCTAATTTTCATTAATAAACAATTTAAAATGGCTTTATTAAAAAAAAAAGGATTTAGAAATAAGTGGAATTTAAAAAAAAATTTATTTATATATCTAAATTTGGAAATCGGAAAATGAAATGGGATTCTTTAAAAAACTCCCTCTAACGAAATAAATAGACTTTTAAACGACAAAAATCATCATTTCAAATTTATCGAAAAATGAAATAAAGTTTATACATCACTTATTTAAAAATAAATACAGGTTAACTATTTCTGTCCAAATTAGATTCCCACACTTAATTATGAAACCCCTATTACATTAAAGAGTATGCTCAAATGATTCGAACAAGTATAATTTTATAGGTATAGTCTTGATTAGTTTATGAGTTATTAAAGTTTAGAATTTATGTTGTAAAAAAAAATATCGGCCAAAGAAATCGTCACAAGAGATTTTTACTATTTAATTTTGATAATATAACATTCCACACCCTAATAAATCATTTTATGATTTTGATTATATATAATTACATTTATTATAACTTTGATAATAGTCAGATTCAGTACAAAATACTTAATAAAACTGTTTATTATTTTGATTTTATTCATTATACACCCTAATGATAATTTGATTCAGTACAAAATACACAAAAAATTATTTTATCATTTTGATTATTATTATATTCATTGCATATATTTCAAACTAACGTATAAAAGACAAGCTAATTTAACGTTCTCAGAATTGAATTTCGATCAAACTAGAAAAATAGCATGTTATTATTAGTAAATTTTTAAATTTTAAATTTTTATAAATAATAATACATAGTATTTTATTATATACTTACATATATAATAGCATGTCTATAGTACAGAAATCTACGCCCCTTAAAACGATCTCCAAAGTTTCTATCAGAGATAGAAATTCTTCCCTTATTGGACTAAATAAATTACGTCCAACTTTCGAAAATTCAGATTCGACTACACATATATTAAGGTCCAAAAAAGCATATATTGTTAAGAAAATTTTTCCAAGATCGTTGGGGAGGCTTGGATTCTTAGTCCTAATGATTATTAATAATTAAATAAAAAAAAACTATTGGAAATAATTAAAAAAAGGATGCTTTATGGAAAAATCTTTTTAATAGGAAATGAAAAATAATTTGATCAATAAAAAAATTATAAAGTTACCACAATTTTTTGATCTTTAGTCAAATCGGTTTCGTCGTGTTATTTGTTGGTTTCATCATTTTCAATAAGATTTCGAATTGAGCTTGGTGTCGAATTCGTTAACACAAACCCCTAAGTTTCATGTAACTATAGTCTATAAATATTATTAGTAACTTAATAAAGATTGTATTTTCAAAATTTTAATATTATTTGCAATATTACTTATTCATTGCCACTTCTGTATTCTGAGAAATAATATAATTTTTAATAAATTCTTTAAAAAGAGATTTTAACTCTTTTGTCGGAATGTTTTCTAAAGAAATTTTTCAAAATTTAGTATCATTATTAATACTCCGAAAACAATAATTTTAGCAAATAATTTACTTACATTTCAATGAATTTAACTGAATATAACTCTTGTATAGACGTCAGGAACTGCTTGGTCCAGGTACTATTAAGGTCTTTGTTGTGTCCAAATATGGTAGTAAAGCTATAATCATGACACGATTGAGCAATTAATTTTATCTATTACGAGATACGTTAATTTCACGTTAGATGGTATTCAGTATGAACTATAGTTGTTAGGCGAAACCATTTTGGAAAATGACGAAAGACGAAACCTAAACCCGGCGAAAGATGAAAGACGAAACTCTCAGGCGAAACTGACAAAACCCGGCGAAACTGACGAAACCTGATGAAACTGGCGAAGCCTGGAGAAACTGGCAAAATTTGGCAAAACTGCAAAATTTGACAAATCCCTGGCGAAAGACGAAACCTTGGAGAAAGCCAAAACTCAACGAAGATCAAATCCTCTGAGACTTTGGAAGAGACTGAGCCATGTTGGTGAATGAAAATATTTAGCGTGTTATTAAGTACAGGATGTGGCTTATATAGAAAATGTATAAAAAAACAATAAACAAAGTGATAGCTTTTTGTTTGTATTCGAGTACTATTAAAAGAAAATTTGGCTTCGAAAATAATTTGCGTGTGGCTTACAAAAGCAATAAAAAAAACGATAGTTTTTTTTCTCTCTAACATTTTATCGTAAAACATGGAGTATCATATATAGTAATGTGCCACGTACAGTACTATACATACTGCACGTACAGTACTATACATACTGCACGTACAGTACTATACATACTGTACTGTACGTACGTACGTACGTACGTACTGTACGCTAAAATTTTTGCCAATCATTTATTGTCACAGATCATAATGAAATTAGATTAAAATGAAATGAAGGTTTCTATTTGAGCTTCTAAAACCCACTTATACTTGTTTATTATAAAATCTGCTTCAAAACCTAATCCTAACTCTAAAAAATGCTAAAAAAAATGCACACCAAAAATTTGCATATTTCGGTGGCTTGTCTATTTTATTTTAATCTGCCACATTTATTAAGAGTGCCTGCCTGATGTGCCAATTGACCAATCAAATTCGTTAATTGATCAACACAGATAATTCCCGAAGAAGCTTTCGACTTTGACTTACGCTTTGACTTTCACTTTGACTCTCGCTTTGACTTTCGCTTTGACTTTCACTTTGACTCTCACTTT